AATCGATAGTATCAGTGCCCATTATCTCTATTATTCTATCCTTATTAGGCATCAACTCTAACATTTTTTGTGCTAGCTCAGAAACGTGATATAGTAACTTGGGCACACCGAACCCATTAAACTCGGTACCGGCACTTCTAGTATAGGCGCCCATATTTTTAAAGTAAATCCAATCCCCTATATGCATTTCCGGTAACAGGATACCCTTTTTAATATAATCCAGACTATCGCATGTCGGCCCCCATAAAGTAGTTGAGTAAAGTGGTCGTTCAGTGATTGGCATACCGGTGCCCATATCTAGAGGTATGGGTTCGACCTCCACGTGCCCGAGTTTAGCTAATACGAACGAGCCGTATATACCATCGTTTAAATAGTACATTATTTCCGGGGGTTGGCTGTAGTCCTCACTTTGGAAACACCTTTTGGAAGTTATAGTGGTGGCCAATGTCATTGCTGAGTCCACCTACAAGGGTAACATTAATAGAGTAATTTCTAAAAGGTTATAGCAAGCAATAATTGTTATATAGTTTTATGATTACATAGTATCGCCCAAATTCGGATATAATAGTAATGTTAGATTTATAGCCATTTGAGTCAAAATCTGGGAAATGTAGGTCCAGGGCACTGTTAACAGCATGTGCCATGTGTTGGAGTTTAGCCTGTGATGTAGCTCCCACAAAACCACCACCTTACATAAAAATAAAACTTAATTTAAAACTAAACAATAACCTTAAAATTAATCTAAAATTTCTGACCTATGTCAAGTAACCTCATGTCGAATCCAATGTTCCCGGCCACTTTAAAAACCCATTTAGCGTCAGCAATAGCCTTGGTGTAGGCCTCCCCCTTTTGACAACCACTACCCACGTGAAAGCAACACCATTTACATCCAGTTGCTTGGCTAACACTAATAGGTGGCGCACCTCCTTTAAACTCGCACCAAATTTAGTGCCCAATGGAGAACGGGAGTAGTGATCGTCCACACGTATACGTAATAGCATTTCAGCACCGGGATGCAATTGACGTACTTTATAGAGTTCGTGTTCGTTGTCAAACGTCATTTGGTTAACACCCACCTCCTCTGCGTACTGTATATACGAACAGGATTTACATGTATTGGCGTATATTATGCGGTTCGCTGGAACTCCAATGCTAAGTATCCTTTCAATTTCACCCTGGTATTTTGATTTAATAGTATACTTATGGAGTTACGGCTATATTTAGAGGCATACCTTTGAGGCGCAATCAAAACCGACTCCCAGTCCGGCCAGTAGTTGCAGTACTACTGGCGAGGGATTACATTTGACGGCATAGTAGTGCTGTACACGCGGTAGAGACTCGACTAGTTTGCGGTGCTTTTCGATAATATCCTCCACGTCTAGCACATAGAAAGGCTCATCGAGGATACCGGTGCCCGCGTTGCCGGTGATTACGTGTCGGATCACGTCCTCAATTGATGTCTCAACTATTGAATGAAATTATTTTTTAATTTTAAAAAATTAATTTAATTTAATTAATAAGACTTTTAAATACATTTTGATGTAACCTTGGCAACACTGTTATTATTACAATCAATTACTTTAATCATTTCGATGTAGACAGTAACTATTTTAAATTAAATTTTATAAATTTGAAAATATTAACATTGATGTGTTATTAAGTTTTAAAATGTTATTACATATTTAAAGTATTTTGAAAATACTATTTATATAATATTTAATTTTTTATGGTGTTCATTTAATCATATTAGAGTGCATTTATGATAAGTTAGGTTTTGGTTTGACATAATCATTACACATACATGTTGCAATATTATTATAATATAGAAATGTACTTGCAATTATTATATTGTGTAAGTACATTTCTATGTAACAAAAGCTGTTAGTTATAATACAGTACTATTACAGGACATTATGGTAGTAAATGGCAAGTTTTATCAATTTTAAAAACTTAATTTATGTTTAAATTTCTAATTAAAAAATCCTAATAAGATAATACACTTATGAAATATATTTTGAATAAGTAATATTTGATATTTTTATTTATTATAGATATACGAATATTTATTTATAAATATTAAAACTATTGTTGTTTGTAATTAATTATAATTTATGACTATGCACTTATATTTAACTTAAACACATTTACAAAATTGATAAACTTTTATAATTTAATGATACAAGATAATCAGTGCACTTTAAGTACAATTTAAGTATAATTGAATTAATTTTTAGATTTAAAATTTTATAAAAATAATAAAACTTGGTTTTATGTATTTACTAATACTATATTTTAATTACTTATTTATTTATTTATTATTATGCTGTATGATTAAACTTGTATTCCGTTATAAAAATTTTGTCATTTATGACAGTTTACAGTCAATAATAATAATGAAATAATAACTATTAATAATAATAGTATTTGTATTTTGAGATAGGACGTATATTTAATATCTCATTCATATTTATAAATTTAGACAATATGTACATACACCATATTTATAATTGGTTTTCAACACACTAATTAGATTTACTCAGTGACTTAAGGTAAAGCCACAATATAAACCAGCCTTTCCTCCCGGTGCTTGAATTTAATATATTTTCTAATAAGAGATTGATAGATGATTTAATTCATTACCTTTTACAAATCATAAGTTTCTTATATTTTACTTTCTTGAATTTATATAATTGTTTTAAAGTAGGATTAGTGGATATAACTATTATGATAATTATTAGGTTATTATTTTT